CTGTGAGCTGTAATGCCACGGCGCTCTACCCAGGGGGACAGCTTGAGGCTCTGTCTCAAAAAAAAAAAAAAAAAAATCTTTTAAGGGGTTAAGAAAACAGCAATGTAGGTCAGCTCATGGAGACTAAGTTTTAGTTCAGAGAAGAGCGTAATTTTTCCCTAAATTAATTTATAAATTCAGTGTAATGTGACAATTCCCATAGCAACTTTTACCGGGAATGCAACATCCTTTGTGATTGAGTAGTTAACTATGAACAGTTTAGTCCATTGAAAAAAAAAAAGAGCGGAGAGGGGACAAGTACTGCCCTCTGAGATGTGTGACTGTGGGATGTGCCACGAGCGAGAAGACTGCTGGGACTCCTGTCTCAGTCTTTGGGGAAGAAGAACGGAGAGTTATTTGCAGCAATAGTTATGCCCAAAATAGGCACCAGAGAGGTAGGGCTGCACAGCTTTGAAAATTCTCCTTACTCCGGCCTAAAAGAAACAACTCCATGTAAAACTGTAAGGACAATTTTTGGCACTGGGGACGCTCAGAGAAGTGCAGGATGGTTATGGAGGACTTGTTGAGTACAGCTCTCCAGCTGGTAATTGTGGAGTAGGAGGTTGGGGGGAAAGTTGTATAAAAGCCAAGAGAAGAGGAGGCACTTGCACTTGATTCTCCATGAGCTCTAGAACATAGGGGAAACTGTTGAGGTGTTATAGGAATCTAGGCCCAGTGAAGAGAAAGTGGGGAGAATCACCCAAATACTGTTGATAGAAGAGGAAGGGGTTTTATTTCAGCCGGCAGAGCTGCAGCAGACTAGAATCCAAAATGGCCAAGCTCCCCGATCCGCTCTGTCCTTGTCCTTTCATTGGACTCACAAGTAGGCAGACAAAGGAATTAACATTACCTCTCCTTGGAGATATCAAATAGTGTGCAGGGTTTATGGAAGTGGAAGCAAGCAGCAAGTGTTATTTCAAGGACCCAGGAAGTTAAGTTTTACAAATTCTTAAGAGCTGGGTTACCGTAGAGAGGACCTTGCCGGTGTGTCCTTGGGCTTCTGTGAGAAACTCTTTGTTCTTCCAGACTTACTTTTCCTGAGTATCTTCTTTCAGGGGAGTAGATCACTCAGTTCTTGAATCTGAAGGGAGAGGAAGAATAGACTATTTGGCGTGAACTGAGACAGGAAATGATTTAGGCAGGACAGCAGAGGTTGCAGGGCTATAAGCGAGCCAGGTGAGGGTAAAATATCTAGTGGCAAGGGCCTCAGACAACCTGGCTTATTTGGCAGGAGGTTTGAGTCATTCTAAGTGCACTTTTTGTTTGCATGGGAGTGTTTTTGGTTTGTTTTGTTTGTTTGTTTTTATATACAGGGTCTCACTCTGTCTCCCAAGCTGTAGTTCAGTGGTGCTATCACAGCTCACTGCAGCCTCCAACTCCTTGGCCCAAATAATTCTCCTGTCTCAGCCTCCTGAGTAGCTGAGACTACAGGTGTGTACACCACCATGCCCAGCTAATGTTTTTGTCTTTCGTAAAGATGGGGTCTTGCTGTGTTGCACAAGCTGGTCTTGAACTCCTGGCCTCAAGTGACCCTTCTGCCTGGGCCTCCCAAAGTGCTGAGATTACAGGTATGAGCCACTATGCTTGGCCCACCAGTTCTGTTAATCATGTCTTTTCATTCCGTGTTTTTAATGCTTGGCAT